TATAGTAGAAATATATAAAATATCTTTCCTTAATGCTATCAATCCTAAATATAAAAAAAGTTAAGTTGAGAATGATCAAACAACTTTAATTAAATTTTATGAAAATTTAGAATTAATTAAAGAATAAAAAGATATTATTAATATAGCTTTTATTAAAGCTTTTATATATTATAACTTGTTATAGCATCTAATTGAATATTTATTTATTATTGAATTTCTTAAATAACTTTAGCTAAATTATAATTTACTAGATCAAAAAATATTATTAATACATTATTAATACAAAAAATTTTGTAAGTTAATATAAAATGCTATAAGATATTTGATAAAGAAGATAATTTAACATTAGATAAATTTTGATAGTTTTTTATTTTGAAAATATAAAAATTTATATTAATAAAATTTTATTTTATTTTCTTATAATAAAATCTTAGATAGATAGACAAGTTTATCAGATAAATCCTTTTAAAATTTTGTCATTTATTTTAGTAATGAAAGGAATTTTCTTTGGAAGATTAAGAATTTTTCTATCAAAAGTCATATAGCTGAATTTTTCACACAATAAATACAATTAATTCTTGATAATATTAGTATTTAAAAATTTGTAGAGATTGTAACAGATGCTGGACTAAATATATATTCTGCACAAAATTTAATATCTGAAAAATTTTCACATATTATTAATATTCAATGTATAGCTCATTTATTAAACTTAATCACTAAATATTTAATGAAATATATATTTATAAACTAAATAATTCAATGATGTATAGTAATTGTTACTTATTTTAAAAAATTACATAAATCAAAAGAATTATTAGATTTAAAAATTTTAAAAAAAAATAGTAAGCAAAGAATTAAAAACTTATTTAGATACATGATGAACAATAATATATAAAATTTTAAAATTAATTTCTTGACTAGAAATTTGTCTTAAAAAAGTTATTAATGAAAATTCTAACATTATTATAAGTGAAGCTGTTTAAACAATTATTAATTGAAAAGAAGATTTTTTAATGATATTTGTGATTGATAAATATTATGAAACCTATTAAAAAAGCTATTCCTATTCTTGAAAGTAATAAAGCAACCCTGGTTGATTGATATTTTTTTTAGTATATCTTGATCAATCAATTAATAAAAAATCTGAAGATAATCACATGATATTTATCAGTATGCAATAAAGATTTTTAATGAACATTTACATTGTATAACTTTGATAAATATCTCTTAACATATTATTATTTTTTCTAATATAACTTGAATTAATTATTTATTAAAAGATTCAGTTACAGGTTAAACTTATGCTAAAATTATTTATAATTATATTATATCTACTTTAGATAAGTGTTTTTCAAGTATTAATAAAATTTTCTAAAAAATAATGCTATATTATCTTATTTAAAAGTTGTTATACTGCTTACAAAAATATTAAATTAAAATATTTATATAGACATACAAAACCTTGATTAGAATTTAGTCAAAATATATAAGTAAAAATAAAGCAATAATATATTATTGTGATCTATTATTATCTAGCATTCAAATACTTAAGAAATACAGTATATTAAAAATGTATCAAATGATATTCTTTCTGAATATTATAAAAATTTAATTGATAGTATACCTTAAAATTTAATAATTTTTTATATATAAAACTAATAAGAATAATTAAATTAATATATTTATTTAATAAATTTTATTTTTATTTTATTATTTTATATAAAATTTTTATTTTAAAAATGTTTGTATAATTTTGATTGTTTATTATATTTTATACATGTAAATTTTTTTTATTTTAAAAAGTGTATAAAATTTAATTATCCTTTATATATTAAAGATATTTTTAAAAATGCAAGAAATTTATAATTTTAAATTAAATATATAATAAATTTTAAAATATTAATCAATTATTAGTTTTATTATTCAAAATTAATATTTCATTTAAGAAATCAAATAGTTAATATTAAAAAATATTTAAATATTATATTATTTTATATTAATATTATATATAATATTTTTTAGAATTGTATTTATTAATAGTATAGAATGAAAAATATAATATTAAAATTAAAATTAAAATTAAAAATCAAAATTATAATAAAAGATTAGATTATATTACTTATTATAGTCTAATGTAAAAAGATTGATACATAAGAATCATTATTAAATATTTTTATCTGATAGAAATTTAAAAATTATATCATTTAGATATATAAATGATAAAAAAGTTAGATTATGTTTAAAGTTAAATAGCTTAAACTTTAACCTTTTTTTTCTTATGAATAAATTAACTAGAGATAGAAATCTGTTAACTAATAATAAATGAAAAATGGTTTTTAATATTTATTAATATATTTTAAATGTTTAATAATACTATAAATTATATTATGATATATTATTATATAAGAAGATTGCTGCAGTTCTTGGTATAAAAAAATCAATAATTGTGTATGTGATTATAAGATAAAATAAAAAATAGGATTTTTAAACACAAAAACTCTAGGTTAGCCAAAAAATAAAATTAACCATAATATTTAAAGTTTTATTATATTAGTAAATACCTTTGTTATTCTACTTTTAAAATAAATATTACGATAAAAGCTTGAAGAAAATAGTTATTAATTATCAAAATAGCAATTTCTTCATATATTACATATATTAAAAAATATTATTATAGCTATAGTAAATATTAAAATATTTTGTATAAATCATCAGAAAATATTGCTTTTTATAACTGTTATTTACAATATCAGTTTAAAAATCTATAAGAAAATAATAAAATTCTGACTAGATCAAAAGTTTTTTTAAATGAATTCTATTATCATTTACATTATACTACAAATTGTACTTAGATACTATGTTATAAGATAATATATTTACCAGAGTGTAATTCTTTAATTAAAGCAATAATCATTATACGTAATAATAATATTAACAAGTTTATAATAAAATTGTTTCTAACTCATTTCTTATATGAGAACTGTCAATAAAACTATCTTCATTAAGAGGAAAAAATGAGTAAATGTTGATGTTTAAAATAATATTTCTTAAGTTATTTAAAATTCTAACATTGCAACAGACTATATTAACTATTATGGTAATTTTACAGCTGAAATTTTTGAAGATCTTTTTGATAAATCTGTACTAATGCTATAGGTTAGTAGATATTTATATAGATGATGTTCAGTATTACATACGTTGAGTTAAACAAGTATTAATATTAAACTCAAAAAAGGATGTATTAATTGCTTAGTTAATTTCAGCTAGTATTGATATTTCAGAAAATTCTACAAAAGCAAAATTATATGAGTTAATAAAACAAAAGTTCTCTTTATGTATATTAAGATAGCTAAAGAATATGATTATAATTTGTTTTATATCTGCCTTATCATTTGAACTCTAACTTATTGAAGGAGTTTGGTTAATTGTTAAAGGTAAAGTTGTTAGGTTTATCTTGCATTTAAATCTTTTAGCTATTAGAGACAAATTGTTATATACCTTCAATGAAAAGGTTACCACTAAAGTTATCATTGGATTTTGGTAAAGAATACTTGACAAAGCCATAGAATATAAATAATCAAGTGACAATATATTATGAAGATTCTGAAATTGAAGAAATCAATAATTAATAAAATTTTTATAGAAATTTTATATTTTAATAAAATTTATAATAAAAATATTTTTTGAAACCTATATTATAAATAAATATATTTAAATGTTTATATTAAATTTAAATGTTTTTTTTTGCTATAAATATATTGGTGTATCTACATTTTTGCATCGGATCATATTTATCTTTTTTTTTTATTAAATCTTTTGAAAATATAATATAAGATTATATTTTTGTATAAATAGAAATTGCTTTCTAAATTTTTTACATCTTAATCTTTAGAATCCATATGCTACAAATCTTTAACTACATTTTATTATAGTTAAAATTTATGTATTACAAATAAATCAGATTTTAATGAAAATTTTTTTGACCAAGCAAAAAGGGATTATCAAAAATATCACATGATATGTGATTTATAACGTGTCCAGTGACCAAATTAAAAGAGAACACTTTCCTTAAAATTTGCATTAAAAAAACATTAAAACTTGCAAGAACGGCATAAAATTTTTTAGAACATATAGATTTTATGATAATGCACATAATTATTGTATAAAAACGATTTTATTAGTAAAAAAAAAAAAAAAGTTGTAGTAAAATTAGATGATCGCCTGTCAAACATTTCTTTTAGAAAACATTCGGAGAACAAAATATGTGATGAAACAAAAAGAGACAATGACAATACTTTTCATCATCGCGTCTGTTCAATGACAAATTGTGTTTCAAAAGTTAAGATACAACATATGAAACGTATTATTTAAAATTTTCAAGTGAGAATAAGTACGATTTATGAATAATACCCAAAATAAATTGGATACAATTATAATAATGTTTATCTCTAATTAAATAAATATATTAATGACAAATTTAGAAAGGTTAAAAATATCAATTTCATATCATAATTTCTCCTTGAACGTTTGAGGAATAAAATTATTCTGTTTTGATCATCCCGCATTATTAAATCGGGAAATTAAATCTCAGCATGATTCCTTAAAGATTACATAAGATTTTATATTTGAAAAACGATGTACAACAAAATGACTTTTTATTAGAATTTCGGTTTACAAATAGAATATATACAAAATATTAAAGTGCCGCAAATATGTTAAACCGATATTTTAATTTGAAAAAAAAAAGGATGGAATTCGGTTTGTTGATAAATCGATATGTACAAAGTGACGTTTATTCTATGTCATTCCGTTTAAATAGCTAATATAATATATTTAATATGATAACCGAATATTCAAAATAATTTGACAAGTAGAAAAGAAATGGAATTTCATTGTTTGAAATTCACAGATTAAGGAAGATAAAAAGGAAAAAGAAATTAAAATACTCCAAAAGGAGATTGAAATTCAAAACCTGGTAATGAATGAATTTCAGATTATTATATACCCGAAGCGAGAGTTTCTTCAAGTTTAGGAAAAGATAATAATCTGCTATGATAATTTGCTTCAGGATGAATTTTTGTTTGTTCGGTGGGATGTGTTTGATGAATGCATTTACATTGTTCTATTTCTTTCGATATTCGATGTGATATTTTACACTCATCTTCATAAATAAAGCAGCATCTAATCATACTAAAAATTTCAATGGCAGTAATTCTTTTCTTTGGGTCCGGTTCCCAACATCTTTTCAATAAATTAACAACGGATTTTGGAGTTTCCTCGGGAATGGTGGGATGAACGCCATTGCAAATATCAAAAGCAAGTTGAAAATCATGTGATCTGTCATGAAAAGGTGGGTTTCCGGTTATAATCTCATAAATTATTCCGCCAAAGGCATAAATGTCGGAAGCTTTGCTATATGATTTTTCCCTTAAAACTTCCGGCGCGACGTAAGGTAACACGCCGTAAATTTCCTTTTGTGGCAAGCAAGCCGTCTTACTCACAGGTTGACATATACCCAAATCACTTATGATTATAAGGTCATCGATATGATTAGCATACAATATATTTCCAATGTGAAAATTTTTATGAATGATCTTTTTTTCGTGAAGTTTGTAGAGATGATGTCCAATTTGCTTTAGGATTTCGATCTTTTGATACCAGTCAATAGAATTTGAATTGCAATTCAAATAATGTCTCAAATTTCCGTTTTCTGCAAATTCAAGAACCATTGCATAATCCTTCGATTTTGGTTCTTGGGTGAAACCTAAACATTTTACGACGTATGTAGATCCACGTTGTAAATTCAAATGTAACTAAAATTTTAATTTTATTTATCAGTAAGTTGTCAATAGTTAACATTACGAAAAGAATATGGGTTGATAAATTATTTTAATGATTTTCTTACCTCTTCCAAGAATTCGGATGAAATGTTTTGCGAATCTTTAAGAACTTTTAAGGCAACTTTGGTCTTGGAAAGTCTATTCCATTGTTTCTGTTCAAGGTTCCATCCTTGAATTGGACCATCCATCCATGTAGCGGAGTAAACTATGGAGAAACCCCCTTGCTCCAAGTATTTAATATCGGTAAATCTATCATAAGGTATCCACTCTATCAGGTTGCTAGGTGTTTTAGCCTTAATTTGTTGGAACCTTATAAAGTCATCGATTTCATTATTACCGCTCTTCCAAAGTATGAATTCCCTTTGGAGTTGAATCGGAGAACAGGTTTCACACCAAATGTGATCTACCAAGAGTGGTTCATTTTCGCCAGCCGACCTTTTCCAATTACATTCTTTACAATTATGCGACTTGTAGCTCATCTTTCTCTTAATCGTACGAAAAAGTTTTGGCATTTTTATGTCGTCAAGGTTCATTTTAACGCCTTTCTCAAATTTCATATGCTTATATTTGGTTAAAAGAAGGAATAATCGTGGGGTTATCATGGTGAATAAAATCAACTTATTCAAAAAAAAAAAAAATGATGACGTTATGTAAGGAAGTAAGGGATGAAAAGTTACTTATATAATAAAAAAAAAAAAAGGAAAAAAAAAAAAGGATGAAAGTAAATTAAAAAGAAAAATAATTTTTATATAAAAAAAATATATTATTGTATTACAAAGGACAATTGCACAAATTTTAATTTTAATTTTTTTCTTTACGATATTTCATGTGTGTCGTGTGTATAAATATCTTTTTTTTTTTTTTTAAAAGAAAAAATTCCCTTAGGAAGTGAGGATATTGAAGAGTATTTATTTGGGAAGGAGGGAAGGTTTTAAACTAACAGCAGTTAATTGATTTTTAATTTAAAATTTACAATATGAAATATGAAACAAATTTTTATGTAACAAATTATATTACAAAATAAATTTGTTTAAAATATAATAAATAACTCATCGGCTAATAATATAAAAACCAATTGATATTGCAGTATAAAAAAAAAAAAAAAACCAGATTATCGTATATTTAATCCTAAAAAAAAAAATGAGGGATTTTTTATTTTTAACAAAAAAAAAAAAAAATCTCCCCACCTTTAACATTTCTTTGTTGAAAGAGACCATGATTTGTTTATTCAAATGACCAGTTCTATCAGATGCTGCGCATCAAAATTATAAATTTGATGTGACATGATTTGAATAATCACCATATTAGTCACACGACACGCTTATCATAGTCTTAGGGTGGGAGATAGGAACATTTGCTTTTTTCGTGCAAAAAACGATGTCGCATGCATACACATAACAGGTTTGTTATTTTTCATCACCAACATTTATACCCTTGCTTCATTCTGGTTATTTCGTAAATATCCGTAACCCTGGCCAACCTTCTTTGGACCGGTTGTATCCGAATGTAAATACCGCATGTTAAATTATTTTGGCGTAATGATTACAAATTGAAATTTGGTTGTTTGAATTTATTATAAAAGGAAACATTTGTTTAATTTCATCCATAGAACGGATGATAATATTCCGCCATCAAAAAAAATTAGCTACTATGCACAGTGTAAATGACATTTCCACACGGAATGGTTTTATCGATGACCATGCTAGAATCCTCTACTGGATCTCCTTATCGGATAAAAAAAAGAAAGGTATCATTTTAGAAACACCAGTGACCCCATTTTTTTCGTTATTGTTATCTATTTGAAGATGAAATGACGAACGCAAAAGGTTATTGTAGATGACAATTTAATGTTTTCTTCTTTTACAAAATGAATGGGCTTGGGTAATGATGATTGAATCGTTGACCAATCATACTTCAATTCAAATTACAAAGAACTCTTGGCAAAAATTTCAATTTGAAAATTTCGGAAAAAGGTAGATTTGTATAACAAACAATCGGTGAATCATTAATTCTATAACCTTCTTAGTAAAAACGAATAAAGATAAAACCTCTCCAATCAGACGATAAATTGATTGTTCTTCTTGTTAGATAAGATAATGCAATGTCAACCTGATTTTTAAGATGGAGGTACATATCTATCTACATGACAATACGACCTGACAAAAAAATTTTGACTCCAAAAGATCAAACAGAGATCATTATCATGTTCTTTCAAGTTTCACGTGATTCCCACTAACGATCCCGTTTGTAATTTTTACGGTGCCAAAAAGATTTTCGGATAACATGTGTGGATTTTCTTGATTCTCTATTTTTTTTTTTCTTTTGCCTTTTCTTTTTACAAGGTTATAACGACGATCATATATAACTTTAATTTTTTTCGATTACAAATATTTTTTATTTTTGCCACGAATTACACAAAAAGAATAAAAAATTTTTTTTTTTTTGCCCGGGGAAAAAAATGGAGTGACGTTAACGATCGCAGTTATACCGCAGTTGTACCGCAGTAATAAAAGTATAAATAGCATTTAAATGTTCTCTCTTACATAAGTGCATCATGCTACACCATAATTAGTATGTGGTGATTCAAAAAAGGTTCCATTAACGCACTCGGGCAGTAGTATTATCGTCAATAAACTTTAATTTTTTTTTTAACCAAAAAAAAAAAATTTTTCATTTTAACAAAAAAAAAACTCTTCAAATTCCTGGTACATCATACGCACAAAAAAAAAAAAAAAAATTAAACCATCATCACATTTTGAATTCGTCGCACCAAATTATCAAATTGAACCGAAAAAATAAAGTGAAACAACCGACTTCACCAATGTCACGACAACAATTATTACCAGAATGTTTAGAGAATATTCTAATTAATCTTTCAGAAACAAAGGATTTATATTCTTGTTTAATGGTAAATAAGTTCTGGTGTACGGTGGTTGTCCCCTATCTATGGAGATACCCATTTAAAACGGCCGGAACATCCAAAGAACGATGTAATATGGTAACCAGAACCTATTTATCATGCGTTTCAGAAGATTCTAGAAAAAAATTGATAGATGCTGGGATTAATATGTCGGAATACCCTCGAAGGCCTTTGTTCGATTACGTTTCTTACTTACAAGGTTTAATCATCGATCAAAGGACATTTGACGTAATTCCATTAATTTTCCGACTAAAAAAGAACAATATCTCGTCACATGAAATACATCAAAAGCTTCAAGTGATGTCAGCTCATGAAGAATGGATTTTAAAATCACAAAAACATTTGGTTGAACAGGAATTAGCCAAAGTTTTATTGAGAGGTTGTACCAGATTACATTCTTTAGAAATTTATCAATGTGATTTCTTATCAAATTTAATCCCAAAGATTTTATCATTTTCACAGTATAATTCTTCTTCTACAGCGTCTTTATTATTTAAAAGTCCTTCACCTCCTTCAAATCCTTCTTCTCAAAAGTTATTTCATTCGTTAAGAGAAATTTCATGTGGTTCATTAAGTGATAATAAACCAACCTATGATTTTCTCATGATGATGTCAAATAATTGTAAATTAATTCATACCATTACGGTTCACGATATTAATTCTATGAGATTGGGAAAAGCTTTGGCTTCGGTTGTTTCCGCTCAAGATTGTTTAACATGTCTTGATCTAAATTATTCAAATTCTTATAATTTTTCAACATATGAACACATTTTTCAATCACTATACGACGATCAATATAATCAAATTCAATTACCTTCCCACTTACAAAATTTATTCCCATCATCCCAAAATTCATCAATCAAGAAGAAAATCTCATCAACTTCTCCTTCTTTAAGTCGACTTAAGCTTAGCAAAACGAATTTACATAACGTCAAAAAACATACTCTGGATCATATGATTAAAAAATGCGATAAATTACAATCACTTGAATTAGATCATTGTACCTCAATCAATTCTTTAACCCCTTTACAACATTCTTTAACTAAATTAAACAATTTAAAGGTTACTTGTTATGATCAAGATTTAGAGTTCGTTACGGATTTCTTTCAGGCTTCAAATTTTAATTTAAGAAATATTTATTTAAGTTGGAAAACCAATTCCCCTCCTTTTAATCCAATTTCACTTTACGCACCTCCAACCATCTCCTCGTATAATTTAGAAGAGAGCTTCAAGAGAATTCGACTTTTAACGAATTATTGTACTCAAGTTAGAAATTTATATCTTGAAGTCATAACTCCTCAAGAATTACTTTTGATCTTTAGGTCCCTTATTCATGTACAAAAATTAAGTGTCACCTTCAATGAGCAGACAAATTGGGATGAATTGATGGATGAATTAGGTGAAAATATTCCCAAAGAATTACAATGGATTGAAATCAGAAACAGAAAGGAATTACCATTTAGCGTAAAAGGATTACAAACTTTTTTGGAGAGAGTTAAGGAAATAAATGGAGGTTTAGAGTTGTATTTTCGGAGTGCACAACAAGCTTATTTAGATGTGACTAAGAAATATGATTTCAAAATTATCAATTATGCCGGTGAATTAAATTGGTAGATTTATGATTATAGAAAAATGATGTGTGTGTATTACTTTATTTATCTTTATTTTATTTTTTAGAAGGAAAAAAAAAACTCTAGAAACACTATGTATTTATTTTGTACAATATTATATATTATCATATTTTATTTATGTATTTTTAAGAATTCTTTAAGACAATTGATTCAAATATCGAGGCAAACTGTATTTCATCCATTTAAGACAAAAAAAAAAAAAAAAAATGAAGTTATGAAAGTTATAATAAAAAGATTATTATAAATTTCATTTTTTTTTTTTAAAAAAAAAAAAAAAAAATAGAATATATGTAAATATAATTTTTCCTTATTGACATTTTTCATCATTATATCATTTTAGGTTCGTTCATTCATTAAATCATCTTTTTTATAAAAAAGCACATGAAAGTCAAATTATTTTTAGAAAAAGAGAATCTAAATCATAAAACAGGTATCTTAATTGTTCATTAAGTTCACGATCTTGTGATATAGGCATCAAAATCTACGCCAAATTTAATTTCAAAAGTAAAATCAAATGTTATTACAAAGAGTAATAATATAAAAAGCTTTGTTCATATAATAAATATAGAATTAGTTATATATATATATTTTTTTAATATTGTTTCATTTTTTCTTTATATTATTCGTCAAGTAAAAGTTTAGGAATAATGGATTATTATATAGATTTATAAACATTTTAAGGTCATCTTTATTCTTTTTCTTTTCTTCTTTTTCGTACCTTTTCATTTTTTTCTTTTTCCACTTTTTTTTTTTTTTTTTTTATAAAAAAAGGGAGGTGCTTACAAACGCGCGAATATTACTAAATTTTTTTTAAAGATCATTAAAAAAAAATATTTTTTTGTATACATATAAAATATCAAATAAATATTTATATATATATTATTATTATCAATAAAAGTTTTAAATTCTTCATTGTTTTTCAATGATATATATTCAAATTATTTCAGTCTAGAGATAATTCTCCATTCCTACTTATATCATCAAAGACAACCAACGCCTTTCTTAATCCTTCACTCGTCACTTTAGTCCTTTTGGCTAAAGCCAATCTTTTTAAAGTTTTTAATCTACTTGCATACTGCGTAATCAAAGAAAGGTATTCATCATCAATACACCCACTTCTCGGAAATTGTAAAATTTCTAATGGAGCTTTGCAATTTTCAAGTAACCAATGCACTACCATCAACCAAAACGTTCCTTCAATCACAATCATCAAATTCTTTAACCTTTGTGGAAGTTTTCGAGATAATTCTCTCCAGAATTGTTCATCATCCATCAATTCCGTTCCGATTGATATGTGAAGTTGTTGAAGAAATTGACAAGTTTCTAAAAGTGATAGAAAGTGGGGAAGGATGTCTCTGCTAATATGAGTTTCAATCAGATTTAAATATGGACACGTTACAGAAATTGTTAAGAGAACAGATGAAGGTGGAAAATCACCAGACCCTCTAGCTATTGATCCCGGAGGTCGTCTCACATTCCATACTTTTCTTCCCAGCCTAATATCTTTTAATGAACCACAAGTATTTTGTATCATTCTCGACAAAGGATGATTAAGTGAGCTGGGGGTGCAATTATTAGTAGATGAAGTAGATGAATTTCCTGTAGAAGGATTTCTCATTGAAAGGTTCCCTATTGAATGATTTCCCATTGAAACATTTCTTATTAAAGTGGTCCTTATTGTATTACCTGTATTATGATTTCCAATAATGTGTACAACTGATGGGGGAAGCATTTGATTTGATCTCATATCTCTGAATCCAACGCTCTTTCTAAACACAAATTTCTTCAACTTTTTAAAGGTAGCAAAAGCCAAAGGTTCAACGGTATCATCATTTAACCCCAAGCATCTATCAAACACCAAAACCTGTAAATTCACGCAAGATGCCACCGGCGTCAAGTAAACATGTCCTCTAAAATCGGTTCCACTAAATTCCAAATAATTTAATGAGCTGATCTGAGAATGTAATCCTTCGATTAACGCGTTTAAACAGTTTGATGTACCTCTTCGCAAGATTACGCGACGTAACAGATGTTGAGCTTTTAAGAGGCTTAACATCATTTGTGGATCTGGGTGCTTTCCTTGCCACGATGAAAAATTGATCTCCAAAGTATTGAGGTTCTTGGATATCTCCGAGAGAACTTGCATAATCCTTCCATCAGTCGAACCACCTCCGTATTCAAATTTTTGTAAATACCTTAGGCAATCAATCGCTCCAGGATAACTCGGAATATTTAATAAATCGTCAAAACCATAAGAACTACGAAATTCCTCAAAACTCGTCGGGGTGTATTGAATGTCTCCAGGATGGTGTGTCCAAAATCTCCTATCAATTAATCCGACTAACCTTTGAGTATTCAATGAAAGAAAGTCGAGCACTCGAATTTTCGAAAAGAAGAGTTTAACAAGTTCGTTGACCACTAATTTCACAATACGTAAATCATCGAATACTATGGTATCGTATCTTTTTTCGTCGATTACTTCGGGGTCACGTCTAATTTGTCGTCCTTTTTCGTATCCTTCTTGTAACCACAACGATGTTGACTCGTATAAATCCTCAAATCTAAATCCACGGATGAAAGACGGATAATCGAAAATTTTAGGGTCATTAATGGATGAAATGTAAACTCCCTCGGACAAGAGGTAAGTTTTAGTCGCATGAGAAAATGAGGAAGTGTAGATTTCGATGAGAGATGGATTTGGCCTTTTGACTAGTTGAAAAGGCTGTTTCCATAGGAATTTGACTACGCTACTACACCAAAATCTATTTACCAAAAGGCAAGAATATAATGTGGACTTATCATATTCTAAAATTTGGAATATCTCCTCCAAACATTCTCGTGGTAAATAGAATGCCATAATAATAGATTAATGAAGAAACCTTTTTAAAAAAAATTTTTTGATATGATTACACATTGAATCATATGATTTAATTACATCACATATAAATTCACTTACAGGTCTTATTTTGTAACGTATGATAGAATTTTAATCTGAAGGACGAATTCGGAGTAAATAGTTAAATATTAAAAAATGAATATATTTAATGTAGTTTAAAAAATTTATGATAAAATTTACTTTATATTAAAACACCTCTTAATTTTTATATTCACCTTGCAGGAAAAAAAAAACCCCCAATATTAATATATTATCTAACGTTTAAAAGAAGTAGATTAATTATTATTATAGTTATTATGTTTTTTTAATATGCGAAATTTTCCAGGAAGGAAAAAAAAATTTTTTTATCTAAAAATACCCATGATTATCCAAATATTTATTCGTAAGCTGCAGGTCACACAATGCGAATGTATGTATCCCCTCCAAAGATTGTTATTAAAATCTTCCCTAAATTGGACACAAAAGATGTTTTGCCAACAAAGTTGTTATTGTTGGGCGCTAAAACGATCTACATACCATTTTAGCAGGGTCGTAACGCATTGAAGTTATTTTAATGAATATTTTTTTTAGGATCAAATTGACGACTCGTTAAACAGGGTATCATTTTTCGAAGTTCTTTTTTTTTTTAACTGTATAATTCGAGAGTGTTCGAATATCATTCTCGAGGAAATTTTAAAATTGATTCCTCGAGCGGTAGGGTAGCTCTTTGTGTTTGTGTCACAACAATGAGTATTTATGTTTCACACATTTTTTATTTGTAAATCTTACCAAATAAAACAAAACTTTAATGATAATAAATAAAAAAAAATTCCTCATTTATTTATCATGTAGGATTTTCTCTACGTATTCTTTCCCTCCAATTTTTACCATTACGATAAACCAAGATTAAGAAGAACAGAGTAAAAATATTCACACCAGCCATTAAAGTAAAGATCCAACCAGTGCCTATCGAATGATTTAATGGAGCAGCAAGAGCAGACATACTCCCCGCCACCAAGGACCTCATAAAATTATTTAATGCCACGACAGATGCACTACGTGTCGGGTAAGAATTTACCAAGTAGGTTGATATTGGATTAAATGCCATTAACGTTCCAAACCCACCCAAAAACATCGCAATTAGCGGATATACGATACATGCGTCACTTTCGAGCAACCAACCAAAAGAAAAGTAAGCCGTTGGAATCAAAATAACACCAAGCCAAGCGCTATGTAATCTTAATTCGGGTGCGTAAGATCCGTCACGTTCTCTCATTTTTTTCCTTAATACATAGTCAGATAATCTACCACCGACCAAACTTCCGCTCATCAATCCAATACCCGGAGCCAAGAATACCAATCCGGTTTGCGACGCTGTTAACCCATAAGTTATAGCAAATTTTTCCGGTATAAGAATGTTCTGTACGTAAATCGTTGAGGTTACCCAAACTTTATATAAAATTACTAACGTAAGGTTGTGATATCTTAATAATGATAATGGTGCCAATGGATTATAATTTTTCTTTGGTGAAAGTGGAGGTAATAATATCAAGTCTTCGGATTTTATGTTTGGCAACGGAATTTGTCTCGGCCTTGAGGTTTCTGGTAACAAGTGATATATTATAAAAAGTAATATGCTTCCATATATCGTTAAGAACCAAAATATCGCTCTCCAATGAAGATATTGTGTCAAATATCCTCCAATCAATGGTCCACTTAACGGTCCTATGAAGAATCCAAAATAAAATAATCCATAGGCTGTACCAAGTTCTGTTGTAATTTCATAAGAGGAGTTTCACGCGAATTAGTTAATTTCAATCATGTTTAATCCGAGAATTAAAAGAAAAAGGGACTTATTTCATTTACCTGTTGGGACGTAAATATCGCTAAGCGTTCCTGCACCGATACATAATACAGCTGATGAACCAGTCGCTTGTATTGCACGAAGGATCATTAATAACCAAACATTAGATGCAAACGCACATAAAAATGCTGATATAATAAACATTATGCTAGCCACTATATACACTTTTCTTCTGGTTTCTCTTAAATCTGAATATGACGCCCAAAATAATGGCTAATTCATTAGAAGAAGAAAAAGGAAACAAAGAGATGTCAACTTTTTATAACCGGTATTCATACAAATGAACTAACTATTAGAACAACTTTTGAATTCTTACGGCAATTCCCATGATATATACAAATACGGCAACTAATGATTGAGATGTTAAAATGTTAAAAGCAATCATATATGATAATTCGATATTATGATTACTAACCTGTTGTGTTTATAAGCGTTTCCGTAGTGTGCAATTCTTCTTGTACGACCAATATCGCCGGAAAAAATATTCTTTAAAAGAAACAAAGTTTTTATTGCATTGATTTCAACTCACGTGACAACCCTTAAATAATCGCTTACGTGTTTGCAATGTGCGAAAGCATTCCCGAGATAGATACCACAATAAGGATGGTTGACTTCTTTGTATTTGACCAATTTCTTGGATCATTCTCAATATAAGTTGGTGTTGCTGGTGTTAATAAAGACTTTTCGTCATCTAACTGAAGTTCAAAATCATCATTAGACACATTAGACATGCTACTGATTGAATTTGTTGATTCTTTTTCATCATAATCTTTTGTTGAATTGCCATCCTAGAAAGATTTATCGAAAGATTTTAATTTCAAGTGTTTAAGAAAAGTAGTGAAAAAAAATTTTTTAAGTGATTTCTTACAACTTCCTCTTTTATAGCAATTTTCTCTTCATCAGATTTATTATAATCGATATAATCACGATTCGACACCATTTGAAAAAAATATTTTTGAAAGATTTTAAATAAAAGAAAATCAGTTTTTCTTTTTTTAAGAATTTCCTCTTTTCTTATATATGTATATAAATTTAAGGATTATCTATTTATCTTTTAAATCTTTGCAATAATGTTTTTATCGTTTTTTTTTTATTTTTAATCACGACTTTGTTAATAATTTTCTTTGTGGCTTCATTTATAATTTATCATTCGATTAGAACCATCCATTTTTTATAAATGTTGAGGCTTTTTTCGATTTGGAAACTTGCCTTTTACTTTTATTGTTTGTATTCCTATAAATGCGTTGTAAACTATTGTGTGGTGAAAAAAGGAGGCAAGGAACAAGATCGATCCACAAATGCCTCTTAACCCACGAAAACTCTTGAAATACGTTCATGTTTCAACCAAGCTTCGGAATGCATTTTAATTGATTAGATAGATATTTGCCTTAAAATTTTTTCTCAAATGAATTCGATCTATTTTTTTTTTTTTTTTTTGGTGAATTTCAATACGGTTTTTTTTTACATCAGATAAATGGAAAGATTTCTATGTAAACAAGAAATATATACATCTATTTCTTTTCTTTTCTAAATCGAAAGAAAAAAAAAAAAGGTGGCTCAAGCATGGCTATTTTCTAAGGGGCTGATGTTTAAAAGGTGGCTTATTATTATTTCTTACTTTCTTTTCCATATCTCATAAAAAAAAAAGTTTTTATCTAATTCAAAAAGAATCAACTCTTTATTTGGGTAAGACATTTCAGTAGTATAATGATAGATAACCTTTTATTGTGATCTCTTCTTTTTTTTTCCCGGTTTGATGAAATCGAAACGCATTCATACAGTCTGATTAGAAAAAATTATGCACATGTGATAACGCAAAGGAATTTATTTATTACGTTTAGTGCTATACTGACATTTCAAAGGATTCGTTCATGATAATCTGTGTCACCTGATTCGTAGTAACACAACAACGGGGATACCCTTTTTTCCTTATGGCAAAAGGTACCAGTAGGAGATGATGTCAATATTTATACGTTTGAAAAGGTCTAACCAAAAACATTTTTTTTTAAAAAAAAAGTAATAATTGATCTTCTCGTCCTGGAATTTATGGGATTTTTTTTTTTTTTTTTAATTTTACTCGATATGGAATTCTTTATTTTGGCGAAAACGCGTCAAATTTTTTTTTTTTTTTTTTTTGAATTTGTTCCTTAATCTTTTTATATAATGTATAAATAATATTTTAAAACTAATTGTGGGGCCTTTTTTTTTTTTCTTTTTAAAAAAAAAAAAAATCTATATATACTGTATTATTAAAAAAAAAGTGATCTTTTAATGATTGGACTTCAATGTTGTATTAAATAAAAAAAAAAATTTATTCAAAAGAATTAAAAAATGGGAGATGAAAATGGTACCAATGAGAAGTTCGAAATTGATGTAAATCGAGAATTTTTCTCAACCAATGAAGGAATTCCTAGTGAAGGAATTAAAGAACAATCTTCCAATGAATTGTATTCTACTCAAGGAATCAATTTAAAAGAGATATCATCTCAAGAAGGTTATTTCAAGGAAGAATCATTCAACGAAGATACTTTCAAAGAGGAATCCTCTCAGGAGGAATCTTCCAATGATGACATCATCCAAGAATTTTCTTTCGAGGAAGAGCTCTTTCGAGAGAAATCAACTAAAGAAGAGGGATCCAGTAAACGATCAAGTACAATTTTCCCTTCATCCCGTTCTTCTTCGCTTTATATGGCAGAATTCGTGCAAACATCTTGTGAAAGCATAAACTCTAGCATCAATGAAACATTGTCACCATTGAAAACTTCCAATTTAAGATGTATTAATATTGATACTAAAAATAATAGTATGAGTGAAAAAAGTTCGAATATTTTTGAGATATTACAAGAAATTAAACCGGATAGTTTTCATTTTAGGGCGAGATCATCGTCATTGTTGTCATCATCATTTAATCATAATCCGTTGTTTCGTCCTCATCGTCATTCCTCTTATACACCCCCAAGACGTTATTCCGATTTCAGAAGATATTCTTTACCTGATTATTACAATTTTCCTACAAGTTTAAAATTACCTCGTTTAATAACAAATGATTCCATTCATGAGCAAAATACGAGCAACTCGGTAAGTGGTAATAATAATAATAACGAACCTCTTGCTAATCACAATATTATTACCGATTTGGTTGAAGAAAATAATGAAAGAATATTGTATGGTAAATATTTCTTTTGGTTTGGATTTTTATTTATACCGGTTTGGTGGTTAGGCAGTTTTTACTTACCTAAACCCACCATTCCCGAAGATTACAAGTGGAGAAAATGTTGTAGAAAAGCAAGTATCTGGGGTTTTGTTGCTTTAGTCATCATTGGCATTTTCGCAATTATAGTTGATCAATGGTTTAAATTAAATCTATTAAATCTGGTTTAAAAATTAATTTATTTCTCGAATTCATTGAATGGATTTGAGAATACTTTCTTTTCTATTCTTTCCTTGTTGAAAATGCTTAAACGCAAAAAATAAAAATAAATTAAATAATTTTCCGCCAGAAAAAAAGATTTATGTATTAGTCATTAGAATTTTTTTTTTTTTTTGTTCTAATTGATTGATATGATGATTGTACATTTGCAATTGAGATTATGATATTTTTAAAAATATACAAATTTTGAAAACAAATAATAATACTAGTATATGAACCCCCCCCCCCCCCCAGAATTTATATCCCATTCACACTCTATAAAATATGAAAATAAAAATAAAAATAAATGTAAATGTAAATGTAAAATGTAAAATGAAAAAAAAAAAAAAAAAAAAAAAAAAAAAAAAAAAGATAATTCCCAAAAAAAAAAAAAAACCTTCCAGGACATTTCATTAAATTTTT